CTACCTGCTTGGCCCAGCCCCTGGTTCTCTGAAACTGGCCCACAGTATTTTCTGTGACCCTTAGTCAATCTCAGTCTTGGAATACCAAGGGGGAGCAGCTGTTTAGAACAATCATGTCAGTTTTAGCAAAAGTGGTATCATCAGCAATAATAATAGCATGAAATTCAGCCTAGAAAATGACAACCTGAATTAAGCATTAATTTGCCACCTTTAACCATACTAATTTGTGGTTATGTAGCAAAATCTAAAACCAGAAAATTATATGCAGTAAATAAGTCTTTAATATGTCCATTTTACCCTTAGGGGTGAAAATTCAAAAGGGATTAGGGAAAAATAGAGAAGTAGAAGAAGAGAAGATTAGAAGCAAGCTTGGAAGACATAGTGGGATCATGCAAACTTTGGAGAGCTAGTGCAGAACACAGGAGGGGAAGAGGAAAAAAATAAAAGGAAGAACAGAATAGAACAACCGCAAAGAGGCTAGAAATCACATTCACACTCATATAAAAACAAGATCAAACAATGGAGAAAACAAAACTAAAACCACCATCACAACAAAAAACAAATGAGAGAAAAGAAAGAAGTGAAAAGGGAAAAAGAAAAGAAAAAGGTTCACCTCCAGGTTTGCCTCTGCTGTCACTGGTAAACCACATACAGAGACAGAGTCTACATCTGTGCTGATTTATCCCAGTGACCCAGCAGGAGCTTTATGGTGGACTCATGGCTAGTCTCAGTGAGCCTGCACCTCTATTTCCTTGAAGTTCAGGCTGTGGGGGCTGAAATCAGACCCATTCAGCCTGCAGCAGTCAGCACATGTTCTGAGGGCTTGAACTCAGCTAAGAGCTGCTAGATGGACCCAGCAGCCATTCTGAGCTCTGAGCTCAGCTGTCTCCTCTCCAAGAGGGATCCTGGACAACTGCTCTCTCCCACAGGTCAGCTGAGCTCTCAGCACTCACTGCCAGCTAATGCAGCCCTTCACGTCCACCGCTTCCCTCCACCGCTGGGCCTCCAGGGAAGCCTATGGGGTTGCCCATAGTCACCATATGTCCACAGGTTTGAACTACTCCCATCATGCAGTGAGTCTTGATTCAGGAAAAAGGCTCTGCCAGTTACCTGCTTTTCATTGTTGAAGTTTTTCTCTTCACTCTCTCTGTGGACTTCAATTGTTCAGATTCCTTCTGGGATCAGGGGACCCACTTCCTTCCTCCTCATCTTTCTTGTATTGCTATATTCCAAATGTCGGGATGGCAATTCTCAGAAAGGCTCTTTCTATGCTGCTTACCACTCCACTATCCTCCTGAAAGTCCTACATAACAGTTCTGGAAGTAAGCCCTTTTAACTATATAGGTTCTGCGTGCATACTCAGGAGCAGAGGATGGCTTTCTTTTTTCTGATACCTTCTTTGAGTTCCTTTGGAAGAGTACTAAAGTTTTCATTATAGAACTCTTGCACTTTCTTTATTGAATAATTCCTAAGTACTTCATTTTTCTTGGTGCTATTATGAGAAGTATTGTTTCTCTAACCTCTCTTGGTGTTTGTTATTGGTGTACAGGAACACCATTCATTTTTGATCTTATATTCTGCTACACACTACTGAATTTGGGTATTAGTTTCTAGGAGTTTTTTGATAGAATTTTTAGGATCTTTTATGTAGATTATGTCTTCTGCAAATGAGAATTTAACCTCTTTCCCTATCTATATTCCCTTTTCTTTCTTTCTTGGAGACAGACTCTCACTATGCAGTTCAAGCTGGCTTTCAACTATGTGGCCCAGGTTGGCTTTGAATTTGTGGCAGTCCTCCTGCTTCAGCCTCCTGAGTGCTGAGTTTACAGGTGTGCACCACCATGCCTACCTTCACATTCTATTTTTTCTCTTGTCTAATTGCTCTATCTAGGATTTCAAGAACTGTGTTGAACAAAAGTGATGATAGTGTACATCCTTGTCTTGTTCCTGATTTTAAAGGAAAAACTTTCAGCTTCTCCCCATTGAGAAAGCTGTTGGCCGTTGGTTTGTCACAGATGTTCTTTATCAGATTAAGATAGAAAACCTCTATTCCTATTTTCTTGAGGGTTTTGAAAACCATGAATGGATGCCGAATTTGGTCAAATGCCTTTTCTGCATCTGTTGAGGTGATGATATGGTTTTTGTCCTTGCCTCTATGTGGTGAGTTACATTTACTGATTTATGCATCCCTGGAATGCATCTACTTGGTCATGATGTATGATCTTTTTGATGATTTGCTGCAGTCTGTTTGCCAGTACTATTCTATACAGGATATCTGCATCTATGTCCATTACAGAGGTTGGTCTGTAGTTCTTTTATCAGTTGGGTCTTTTTTTCTGATTTTGGAATCAGGCTGATGTTTGCTTTCAGGAATGACTTTTAGAGCACTGTTTCCTTTTTGATTTCATTAAAGTTGGAGTGTTGGTGTTAGATTTTCCTCTAAAATTCTTGTAGAAATTGGCAGTAGACTCCATCAGGACCTGGGCTTTTCTTAATTGGGAGGTTTTGTTTTATTTTGGCTTTTATTTCACTAATATTGGTGCACTTAGAATTTTTATATTTTCTTGGTTCAGCATTGGTAGTTTGTACGTACCTAGGAATTTATCCATTTCTTCTGAGTCTTCTCTTTTATTAGAGTACAATTTCTCCAAGAAGTTGCCAATGATCTTCAGGATTTGGGCAGAATTTATTGTAATTTCACCTTTTTCATTTCTAACTGCATGGGTTTGGGTCTTTTCTTCCTTTTAAAAAATAAGTTTGCCTAAGTATTTGTTTATAATCTTTCAAAGAACCAACTGTGATTTACTGATTTCTTTAATTCATTGGCTCTATTTTGTTTCTAGTCTCCATTCAGTCATTTCTGCCCTGACCTTTATAATTTCCTTTTTTGTACCAGCTTTGGTTTTGTATTCTTGTTATTCTAGGACTTTGAGGCATGCTATTAGGTTACTCATTATTCTAATGTGGGAATTCATGGCTGTAAACTTGCCTCTTCAGTCTGCTTTGTGTCCCATAGGCTTCCAGTATGTTGTACTGGCATTGTTGTTATTTCCCCCCAAATAAGAGCTAACTGGAAAAAAAAATAAAAAGTACCAGCTTAAAATAGTGTATCATTTTCTCCCCCTACTATTTCACAGTAGCCACTGAGCAAGAGAATAGTAAGGTCTAACCTGCTGCTTGACTCTGGCCGTCACCATGGTAATGACCAGCTAGGGCTGGTTGTGGCTAGGTCTTACTTTTAGGAAGACACAGTGCAGTGGTATCTCAGTTCATATAAGCTTTTCTTTGAGAACAACTTGGTTTGCAACAGAAACATTTGGCGAAACTTCCTGTTGCAAACTCTATTAGGTGATGAACACCACCACCATGGCCATCTTTCCCATGTGAGCACAACTGGGGCTGTATTTTCTAAATTGCAGAGTGAATGAAGTTTATAAACCAAAGTTACACTGAATTGAGGTGTAAATGTAGAAAACCACCAGAAAACCACATAGAAAACCATTGCAGGAAAGGCAAAAAAAGAAAAACAGCAAAATGCAGAAAATAAAGCTAAGGGAGAGGAAAACAAACTTTTGTCAAAGTGCCTGTGTGCACGAGTAAAAGCAGGACGCAATTGATGGCACTGGGCAGTTTCTCTCTGAACTTCAGTAGGCCGTACATCTTAAGGTGAGGCAGTGGGGGCCCATGACAAGCACCTCTACAGGATGCCAGCAAAAGGGCAGCAGGAATTGAGTGACTGCCTTCACTCCTACCACTAGTATGAATCTGCACACAAATATCTGTGATGTGAGTGCACACTTCCGGATCTCCTGGTTCTTGAAAATAGCATCCCTTATTGTAACATCTGCCTGTACACTGCAGGGCACCTAGCTGGCATGACTGTTATTCTGTTAGGTCTAGTGTAGTCTGTGAAGCAGCTACCTGATCAGCCAGTGTGGTGGCTAGTGTGATGTCCCAGTGCAGCCCAATTCACACATTAGTTCTCTACACAAGATGGAGCCCAGTTTAGCACTCAAGGGAACCCCTAGAAGGTGGTGGGAGATGCTTCAGGATAGCTCAAAGCTCAGAGCATCTGAGGACACCTCAGGATGTGACCCAGCCATCTAGCGCAGGCACACAATAGGTTAAATTTACATAATCATAACTTAGCATTCAACAACTGCATATGTGCCACACGGTTATGTCAGTACATGAGAATGTAAATATGTGACGGCACATATAAGGACTAAATGGTAGTTTTTCTCTCTCTCTGCTGCTGTTGCTGTTTTGTGTGCTTTCTCTCTGAGCCTCAAAGGTGAAACTACCCCTTCAGCCCCTAGATTCTGACAGAGGTGGTAATGGGAGAATCTTTTCCCCAAAGCAAGGCTACATATCAAAGCGGGCTGCAAGGCCGTGATGGTAAGCACGGTAGCTAGGGCTGTCAGTGTCCATGCCAACGGGGCTTACTGGATTCTCTCTCCCATACCCCTGCAGAAGACAGCCCCTTGCCCCTGTTGGGCAGAGGAGCTGGCTGACAGGATATGTTTTGTTCCTCTAGCTATGGTTTTGTCCCTGGTCTCTTGAATCTCTGAATCTTGTAAGGTCCCAGTTTCTCTCTTCACTCCAGTGTCCTCCAAAGATCACTCAACATGTAGCAATACACTTGTTGCCTTGGTTTTTCATTTTGTGGAGAAGCAAGTGAGTTTTAGGTACCACTATTCAGCCACCATGGAATCCCCTCTAAATTAAGTCTTGACAGCCAGCAGCTGGCATCCTTTATTGAGAAACCAACACCTGGAATCTGATCTTCATGTGAATTCAGTTGAATTCCAGGAACTCATCTCCACGTGCTGTCAGTTTGGGGTAGGAACCTTTCCTTAAAACAGTACTATAACTAAGAAATCACTGCCCTTCCTTGAGGTTGTAGGCTGAAAACTCAGTGGCTCAAACGCTTGCCTGGTAAGCACGAGGTTGAGAGTTCAATCTCAGGTACCAAAAAACAAACAAACCACACACACTGCTGCTTCTGGAAGCTTTGTTCTTTAATGAGCCAAGGGGTGATTTGTTCGTCAAGCCACTTTTGTATAGCCATACAGTGCATATTTTGAGGGACACAAACTATACTTTATACAGATGTCTTGTCCTCCCCCTAAAATAGGAAGTCTACAAAGTGTCTGTTGATTGCATTAGGAATGTAATCTGTTCTGTGGATGATATAAATCATTCTTCTTATAGCATTATTCTATTCAACAGTAAATGATATATTTCACAGGATATGTCCTTTTATAATACAGTCTTTAAAAAATTTTACACTCAACATACTTATAAATTACTTTAAATCCATTAAAATAATATAATACTAATCTTTAGTTCACCTTTCCCATAGTAAATACAAATACTTGGTTCAAGAGGTGCAACTTTTATATGACCTAAGGGGACTGATAAGCACTAAGAATGGAGAACAGTGAAGTGACAGCCCACTGGTGGGCTTTTCTAAAAAACAGTTTCAACCGAAAGATCACCAAGACATAACAGAGCCATCTCCTTGATCCTTTTGCAGTTATACTTTTTAACACTGAATTAAGATGTGGGAGTGGTTCTAAAGAAAAGTGATTGCACGTTATTCCAAGGACCTAAGAAGACAGGACTCCCATGAATACCAAGGATTTTACTAACGCCAGCATGTGGTTGCAGACAGAGCTGAGAGGTCACAAAGGTGAGTGAACCTATGCTTTTCAATGCAGAATGATGGAGACCCCACTTCTAGTCCCCCACGAAGGGCAGGGGATGAAGCAGATGAGAAAGCCACCTGATCTGTTTATGATTAAGCCTCTTAGCCTTGAACACATTCTGAGACTTCTCATTCAGCAGAGAGCTTGTGAAATGTACACATTCATAGGGTCACAGTTAAAAACACACAGGACCTGAGGTGAGATAGCAGAACCTTGCTGGGCGGCCTGCCTCTTCTCAGTACATTCCATAACCCAGATTAGACCTGGGAAAGCACCCTACTGTGATGGAACAGAAGTCTTCAATAATCTCAGCAGGCTAAGCACTACAGAAGTTGGGGACTCAGCTTTCTGACAGTGGGTCCTTCTGGCTCACTCTGCAAGGCTCATAGGAGGTAGGCTGGCTCTGTTTGTGTTTCTAGAAGCCAAGAGTGGCCAAACATTCCAAATGGTAGGAAATACCAAGAGTATCACCAACTAAGCATGTCACCTCCCTCAACCCTGTTTGTGCTAATTTGCTTCAATCTGTCATCTAGAATGAAATTTGACTTCTCTGCTTCTGTTGTATTTCCATGATACATAATGCAACTACAGTAAGAATAAATATATTAGCTTCCATGGGCAGAAGGAAAAAAAAATGTTTTATTTGGGACTAGGACTGTAATGCTGAGTGAATTTCAGAATGTGGTGCTGCCCCATTGCTGCTGTTCAGATTATTTCCTTCGAGGCATTTGAGCTCAAAGAAAAGCAGCAAAGGAGAAGTAACAGGAAGCCACAAATCAGATATCAGGAGTGAATGTAATGCAGCAACCCTTGGTGCTGATGTAACGTCAGCTTTGCAGGGGATAAGTTAAGAACACATGGAAGTGGATACAGCATTTTGCTTCTGATAGTTTTTGTAAGTTATGACTTCATCTCATTGGGAAACAGCCCGTTATCCTAGAAGAAGAGCATTGTTTCCCTCAAACGAGTGTGGGCCACACTTGCTTAACATTCCTACAATGGCCCAAATCTCTCCTCCCACCCACCCACATCCTGGCAACTTGTTAAATGACTAGAAATCCACAACAGTATTTTTTATTTAATGTTATCCAAATTCAGGTTTTAGGTCTCTGAGAAAAATTTTAAAGTCTCTTTACATCCATCAACTAGTTCCTATAAAGTGACCTATATAAATGGTTTTAACTGCCAAAGGCTTATCTTACCAAAAAAATCCCCAAAAAGATTTAGATGGGAGAACACGTGTCAAGATGTGCTCCCTGGGTCATCCCTCTGGGAAAAAGGAAATTATTCACAAGGGTAATCTCTTCTTTAAAAAAAAAAGTTTTTAACAACATTGTGGAACAAGTGGAAAGTAACAGTCAATGCCGAGCAGCACACTACTCTCCCAAGAATATTCAAAGTGCGCGGCTGAGTATGGGCCCAGGAAGCAACACCCCCATTGCACACAGCCATGCTGGGGCAGGGAGCTTTCCCTCTAGACAGTCTCTGGTATTCCTTTGTTTGCTTTGGAGGTCTTGCTATGGTGCCTAGGCTGCCCTTAAATGCCTGAGCTCAGGCAATTCTGCCTTAGCTTCCTGGAGGTACATACCACCATGACCATCTTTGAAATACGCAGTTTTAAAGATTAATGTTCATCATGCAAGACACTAACTGGTGGTAAATGTTCATGAAACATAAAACCTTACATATGCCAATTAACTATCATCATTGTGGAGTTTTTAAAGGCTTCCTTTCCCTGGCTCAACTCTGAACCAAAACTAGGAGGGAAAATGCACAGGACTTTAGCTGCCACACAGAATGATGCTCTGATCTGACCCTGGGGGCTGGCCAAGGACCACTGAGGCAATGGCATGAGGTTCAGTGTTGTGTAACAGGAGAGACTGCCTGAACAAAAGACTTCAAAGAAGTATGAAAAGGAAGAATAACCAAAATGCAAGTTACAGGTGGTAAAGGCTCTTCTTCAGAACAGTGCATGTGGTAGTTAGACAAGACGCATGTAGTTAACTTTAAAAATAAACATTTTCACAAACTTAAAAGATTACATTTTTTTATACAATTATAAATAGCAAAAACAGATTCCATAGCACAAATGTTAAAATGCTTCAAATGTTGTGATAATTTAGGTGTATAGAGACCACCAGTGACAAAAAGATGGACATACTTTGCTTCACCCAGGGATGAGTGGCTCTCACTCTCTACCCAACAGCCTCTAATCTGAGGAATAAATTCCCTGGGAAGCATAAGGTTAAAAAGAATAGACATATGTACACATATTTACAGCAAACTTCAGTAACCAGTATATTAACAAAAATAGGTTCAAGTAGTCCTTGATTTTTTTTCTTCTATTTAATACTGATGGTCTGACGTAAAGAAAGTAAAAGTTAGATGGGTCATATTAAAACCTTCAAATTTTGGCAGCTTTCTGTAACACTTGTTCATGCAGTATTGTGTGTTTTGGGGGTCAAATGAATAAATGGTCACATTATTTGAGTCCATGGTGAGAATCCACCAGCATATGTATAGGCTCATGTGCAATCTTCAGCTTAACCATACAGTGAAATACCTGGATGGACTAGGATGAAACCTTCATATTTAGGGATTAAATGTCTCTGGGGCATAAAAACAACTAGAGGAATCTGATCTTAGGAACAGGGAACATGAGTAGAGTATGGCTACTGCAACTTCATCCTGTGTAATAGATTTGGCAGGAGTTAAGCCAGCATTATTATTCTGACATCAAAAAACAAAGCATGTACTTATGTCTTCATCATATAACCAGGTATCTCATACATGCTCTAATGGCTTAATGGAAACAACAGCTTTTTTTTTCTTTATCCAGATATAATATGGAGTATTTTTCAAACATTTTAAAATAGAGGGCTTTAGGCTGTTTATTCATGAATACTTGGGAAAAAATTATATACTACCCCGGCTCTTTAATTTCAAAATAAAGCTGCAGGATTTTTGTTGTAATGGTTAAGAAAGGCCTATGTTGTCTTTCAATGTTGGAAATCAGAGGGTCCTGCAGGTCCACAAATGCCCCCAGGAGTTCAACATCTATCTTCAAGAAGGTAAAGAAAGGTGGGGGAGAGGCAACTACTACTGACCAAAATACCCAGGCCTATGTGGCTCTGTGTAGTGAAATCTCGATTCAAATACAGCAGCCAAGGCACAGCTGGCACCCTTCCCAGGAAGCTTTGAGGAGGCCTTTCTACCTGTGCTGGGGGCCCAGGAATTCAGCACACAGGTTGCAGCTGTACACTGAGTCTAGACCACAATTAGGACTATTGTGGCACAGTGACGAGAGGCTGCCCCAACGAGGTGATGTGTGCTTGCCACAAGGGAACACACATCTGCCAGTTCAGACCATAAACTCATTATTTCCAAAGAGAGGCAGCTGCTGGGCAGAGCTGCAGTTTGGGTCCACAGGTTTCCTGCGCCCAGACACAACTGTCCCCTCGGGGGTCTCTTTGGTTTTCTGAGGTGAGTTTCTCACGTTCTTTAGTTTTTGCTTGCCTTTTTCAGGGTTGAAGGTTCCTCTACTGATGAACTGAGGCTTGTCTTCCAGGGCTTTGGCCTGGCCCAATGGTCCTTCCATTCCTGGAGCTTCACCAGTAGAGGCAGCTCGGTAGAATGGAGATTTGGAATAAATCTGAAAGCGTTTTCTGGTGCCATGAGATGATGCTGTGTTGGACAGACATGTAGACTCCACAGAATCCAAAGAGTCCTGCTGCTTTTTTAGCTGCTTTCGCATTTTGCCTGAAGGTTCAGACTTAGCAGCTGCCTTTAGGGAGCCGAGGCCTAAGGTTCTCTCTACAGAACGAGAAACCAAAGCAGTAAACTACAGTTCCCTCTAAAGTAATCTGCCAAGTAATGAACAGGAATCACTGCTCACACAGGAGCTGAGTAAAATTACTAATGTGGAGGGCCCAGGCTGATTTACAGTGAATGTCTTAAAAAAGTTCTCCACCCATTTCTTGTATCATGGGACAGTAAGACAGTATCTACTGTGACTACTGGCTTTTCTCTGCTATGTGTAGAATAAAATATCAAATTACCACAAAACTGTATTACATTAAAAGGTTGATCTGATGCAGAGTTTACCGATCAGTATATCCTTAAAAGGGACTGTCCTAACTTGAAAGTTTATTCCTTGTCTGCCAAACAAACCTGGAATCACTGGCCTGACATGTTCATTTACCTGATCTCTCGGACATGGCTCCTTCAGACTCCATATTCAAATTTTCTGAGCTATCAGCAGTCCCAATGGAGGCCTCAGACTCGAGGGTTTCATCATCAGAGGCACGGGGTTCCAGTGCGAGCATCTCAAATGTTAGCTCCTCCCTGGTAAGATACCGTCAGTAGATCCATTTAGTACTTGGAAAGAAGTGAAAGGAAAGTAACAGGACCCTGAATGAAAGTCAACAATCCAAATAGCAAAGACAGTCACACTGCTTATTGGCCTCTCCAGGGTGGTGCTGAGGACATATATGCCAAGATAGTGGTGATGGCTAAAACTATAGAAGTAAAAGACACACAGCTGGAGGTGGTGACACATACCTGTAATGCCAGCATTAGGGAGGCTGAGGTGGAAGAATAACTGCAAGATCAGCCTGAACTATATAAAAGGAGCCTATCTCCAACAAAACAAAACCACCCACATAGCACACGTAAAACTAGTAATAACAGGCTAAGGTAAGCTCAGGTCTTTAGGTAAAATAAATTCTGCACTGATAATCAGGAGCTCAGAGTTCTAAATACATCAGCAAAGTACTTTCCTCTCTCTGGCCTTCAGCTTCCTAATCCTGAAAACAGACTAAAGAGATAACATCTGAAGTTCCTTCCAGTCTCTATGCACTTTACTAACATTCCTGACCTTGGAAGCTATGTTGTTTCCAGGTAGAGTATTCTCTCTTCTTTTTCACAGTCATGCCCCTCAAATCTCTAGTCCAAGACTTCTATTCTTGCTTTCTCAGGATCACCTGACCACATACACCTTGAACTATTTCAATTATCTCTGTAGAAACTCACTTCCAAGTTCTAATACCCAATTCCTTTATGTCTGTGCCTTCCTTTTCTCCACTTTACAGAAGCAAGTTTCTCTAATGGACAGATTCTACAGCTTGTCTTAGCTGGACATATTCCAACTCAGAGTACAATACTTTATTGTCTACCCACAATGTTGTTCACTTTCCAATTTTATTCTTTTCTCTTCTAATTTATCTCAAGACCACCTATCTTTTCCAGCAGTCTCACTAGTAACTCACTACTGCAGTTAAAACTGTCACATGCCATGTTCATTCTCACCTGAGACTCTGCTCACAGTTCCTTCTTTGCAGAGACTTTCCCCTTCCTAGCAAATTCTTACTTATCTTTCAATATCTCTAACACCATTTTCACCAATGTTGAAATAGGTCCTATTTTCACATTACTCCTACAACAAACTGCCTGCCCCTGCTCGATGTGTACCATCTTTGGCTTTCTATGTTTTTCACAGCTAATCCTGGTTGTTTTAGCTGACCTATATTCTAGAATCAATCCAAATAGATAATAAGTACTCTTAACAGTCTCATAACCTCTTCCTGATGAATCAAGTTCTAAGACCTAAGATATGAGTTTTAGGAACTGGGGAACCAAGATCACTTTAGGATTTGGACTAGTACACAGTACCTTCCAGGGGAACCACGTGATATTCATTTCCCTGAGGGAGAGGTAGTGTCACCCTAGTGAGGATGGAAGTAACTGAACTATGTATCTATCCCTGTTTTAAGGTACAGCCCATTCCTCTACCCAGTGCCCAAGTGCCCTCTTGAGTTGCTGCCTTATTCTGCTCATCCAGTTCTTTATCCCTTCTTCACAGAGTTGTGAATAATGCTTATTCCTTTGTCTTGGCCCAGAAAATCTTGGTTTTCCTTTGCAAAACCAATTTTTCCAGGGAGGCTGGTTCCTGGCCTATCAAGTCATCAATATCTCGTCATGGCTCTCCACCATTTGTGGTACTTGACCTTGAATGAAACATGCTTAGGTGCTACCTCCTCCTAGGCAGCCTCTCCAGATCATTACTGTACCAGCATCAAGCTTCCCAGCTCATGGAGCATCCTTCCCTGAGGTGACAATTTTCATACTTCACCAGAGCACTGGCAATGTAACTGTTATCTACATATCTTCTACATCCTCTGCTTGGTGCATAGGAGATATTTGATAAGGATGAAGAGGAAAGGCTAGAAGGCAGGAAATTAAACGAGTCTTTCTCCCCCTGCACACTTACTTTTCTTTCTGCAGGTTCTCAATCTGCTCTGTCAGTACCCTTTCTTCCTGCTGCATGGCTGCTTGCTGCTGTTCTGTGACATCGGTCTCCATGGCTACTTCGCTCTCCAAGGTCTCTTCTGGGACATCAGACATGGAAGGCAAATGAACTACAATAGGAGAGGATGGACCTGGATGGTTTCCTCGACGGATACGACCCTTTCCCTGTAGAGAAAAATTCATATTAGAAGATAAACTGACTCCATCAGTTTTACGTTGTCCATTTAGAATAAAATGTGTAGTGCCTCATACCATGTGGATGAATAAATGGAAACATTCTGTGGGGCCTAGGATATCTGTGAGACATCATTCATCTGACACATTTAAAGGAGCTGCTGCAATAGCCTGAAAATGGATGCTTCTGTGGGTGGAAGTGTGAGAATACATTGTACACTGAGATGAAATTCTTCCTTTGAACTGTACCCACGCTGAGCTTAACAGGCACAACTATTTAACTTAAAGCCAATTTAAACTAAAATTTTAGTTCTGCAGTCACACTAGCCCTTCTGAGTGCCCAGGAGCCATGGGCAACTAGTGGTTACCCATGAAAGGTGCAGACAGGAACCATTACCATCATCACAGGAAATTGTAATGGACGCTAACCTTGGAATACACAATTTGTCTAGAAAGACTGTAGAAACACCTCCTCAAACTTGTTTTGTTGAAGTCATTATCATGGGGTAATAGCAAGGTATATTTTTTTTCAAGAAATTTTGAGAAATCTTTGGATTCTTGTAATAGCAGACTAGGTTTTTCAGATTAAATCCCCTGCTAAGAGCAACCTGACCAAACACAAAAATCAACACATTTGAAGATCCTGGAGAGTTAACTGGGTAGAGTGAGGAGAGGCTGAGGAGAGGTCGGCATTTAGTGCTGACCTAAATTCCAGAAGTAGTAGCAGACAGTCTGAGCAGAACTTTTGACAGCCTATAGCTGGGGTTGCCATACTATTCTGGCCCATGAGGCAGTGGCAAATAAAGCTTTACTGTAACATTCATTATTAATTGTGGCTGCTTTCTTAGAACAGTGATAGAGTTCACTGTGATAGAGACTGTATGGTCCACAAAGTTTGTAATACTTACTTTCCATTCTCTACAGAGAACAAGAATGAAAGGGTGTGAGTTGCCGCCCAGTAAAACTTCCATACTAACACTATGATCTGCAAGGCCTTCATTCTAGTCAGAAGGATAAACTGAAATTCTAACAATCCCTGCTTACACTGTAACCCAGGCTCTAGATGATCTCAGTGGTTCAGAATGTTTTAGAACCGGACAGAAAAATAAAGTACTCTTTGAAAATAAGGCCATCCTAGGCCTGAAAATATATACAAATCAAAAGTAACCAGTAGCAAAAGAAGACAAGACAATGTAAATGAAACTAAAAAACATCAGAAAACAACTATACTGAATTAACAGATGGGAGGTTAAGTCAGAGGAAAAAATCTAGAATCAGGTTGGAAATGTGTCAACTAAAGAAGGTAAAAGTAAACACAATAACATCTACTGTATGTTTAAATGGAGTCCTAGGAGAGGAGAGAGATTCTACAAAAGGAGTATTAATAAGATAATGGGAAAGCATTTGAAAAAAGCAAAGAAATTATTGTTTTAAGAAAGCCTACTTATTAACTCCGCCCCTATCCCCAAGTCGGCACCTAGATTTTTTTTTTTTGGTCTTTTTCCTTTTTATCGGTGCCAGGGATCGAACTCACGACTGCCTGCTTGTAAGGCAGGCGCTTATGCCGCTGAGCTAAATCCCCAGCCCCTTGGCACCTAGATTTAAAAGGCTAAAAAGTCAAGGGAAGAGAAAAAATTTAAAGGCAGTCAGAAAAAACCAAGGGCCTGCAAATAAAAATAAACTATTAGGTTCAAAGCTCAACAGAGATATGGAGGGTAGAAAAGGAATTCTGAAAATGATGAAAGGAAAGTGACTACCAACCTCGAAGTCTACACATAGTAAATGTCTCCGGAATGAAGGTGAAATAAAGATATCTCAGACAAAGAGACTTGACACTGCTGAGTCTATGTGAAGGAAATAGTAAAGGGTAGACAGAAAATGACCCCCGAAGAAAAGTTAAGAGATGCAAGGAAAAATAAAAGGCAATGGAAACAGTAAATATGCAGGTCTAAATGAACACTGACTACATAAAATACAACAATGATGATGTGTTGGACTTAAAACACAGATAATTAAAAGATTCAGTAACAACAGCAATGGATCACACAAGAACATTTTAATGCACATTAAAGTACTTGCATGTTATCTGGGAAAAAGATGGAAGTATCAACAGATCTGTGATGCAATCTTTAGACTACTTACTGAAAGAATGGTAAGAGTATAAAATATCTCTAACAGAAAGAAAAATGGAAAAAGTAATAGTCAAAAGGAAAGGACGAATGAAAAAGGAAAATATGTATAGGCAAGACAAATAAAAAGGACACAATAAAGCAGATTTTAAGCCCAAATATAGTTAAAACATAAGAATTTATAAAGGTTGAAAGCAAAAGAGTTTTAAAAAGACATACCATGCAAACACTAATTATAAGGAAGCTGAGGTGTGGCTCAGTGGTAACTAAAGAAAACTCTAACAAATGTTATATCTGTGACTGTTCACAATGGCAAAGGTTCAAGTTATGAAATATTCCAAATTCGCATGGACCTAAGAAATGGCTTTAAGATTCAATGTGAAATACAGCAATACCCAAAGCTACAATCAGCAGTGAGAGCATAACTGTGTGCACACAGTAAAGACAATAGCAGTGAACTTAATAAAGGAAAGTGACCTAATACATACTTAGTATCTTAACTGTAAAACATTCATCATTTAAAAACTATAACAAGACAACAAATTTCCAAGGGTTGAAATAATTTATCTGAGAAAGTAATTTCTCTGAGTTTTCTGATAATGCAATTACAAAAATTTTACATTGATCTTTTAAGAATTAGACTTCTGCAAAACCATGGTCAAAGAAGACATCACAATAAAAATCAGGAAATATTTTAACATTTGTATAAGCTTTTCTGCCTTAAAATTATAGTCTTAAATGCATATATTAGAAAAGGTTACATATTAAGTATTTTGTGAAACTACCTTAGAAACAAAACAAACATTAGAAAAGACAGTAGTAGAGTCTAAATGTAGCACTTTGAAAAAACTAAAATTTAAAACCCTTGCAATGAAACAAGAATTTTTATTATCACTACTCCTAATTCAATATAGTAATTTAAACTTTCACCACAGCAATTAGGCTACAAATGGGGAGGTTAGGGAGTTGTTCTACAAACAACTAATATTGTCAATGAAGAAATTTTAAAATGTGAATATTAAAGAAACTGGATCCATAACTAGATATTTTCAGAAAGAGAACTCTAGATCTTGATTTCACTGGCAGACAAGATAAAATAACATTCAGGTTCTTTCACATAATAAAATTATTCCCTAATTTGTCTTTCCACAAGCTATCAAAATGTATCAAGTATAAAGGAAGAACTATTACAGACAATTGTACTTATATACCAGGTGTAAAAATCTTTAGTAATATAAAAGGAATTGGGCAGTACATAAAATATATAAAAATACAAAAAAATGTGGTGGTAGTATGATGGTTTAATACTGTATTCATTCAGTTTAATAAAAAAAAGTCCAAAGTGTTCCCCGTTAGGTGGTGGTAGTGGGGGTCATTCAAACAAGAATGATCACTATCACCACCTTTTTTTTCACTTCTATTTAACAATGAACTAGAATTCCTAGCTCAAGTACAAATGAAAGAGCTTAAGGAATATAAAACAGAAAAAACAATTATTATTCATGAACAATATGACTGTATACTACAAACCCCAAAAGAACTCATAGAAGTTATTACAATGAATGGGTTCAGAAAGATCACTGAATACAAGTTGAAAAACAACAAAATCAAGTTGTGTCCCTATATTATGAGCAATGAGACAATTAAAAATGTTAAACAGCATGTTAATTGTATTTTAAAATATTTAATCAAGATTTATAAGATGGTAATACATACAACAATAAAACACTTTAGGAATAATTAATGATCTGTGCTAATGGAAAGATAGATCATGTTCATAGGTGAGGAAAACACTCTGTAAAAGTACTAATTCTCCAGAAATCAAATTATATTCAATGCAGTTATGATAAAAATTCCGAGAAGATTTGTGATGTTGATGCTATACTTTATATGAGTTTAATGAGCCAAGATTACAAAACACTACTGAAGAAAATAGGATGGTTTGTCCTATCAGCTTTTTTTTTTAAAGAAAGCTATAGCATTCAAAATAATGATAGTAACAGACTGTAAAAATCAGAGTTCCTAGAATCAGATCAGACATATAAAGACTGCTGGTTTATAGCAAAAGGGGAACTGCAGAGCATTATGTAAAGGGTACTTTTTAAATAGAAGATGCTGGAAGAATAGATATCCTTGTAAAAATATAAAAACTTGACTCCCACATTATAGCACATATGGAAAGTGTCTCTAGTTAAGCAACAAATCTAAATTGAAAGACAAAAATAATAAAGCTTTTAGAAAATAGTAATGAGAACTTTGTAATCACAGGAAAAAGAATTTCTTAAAAGTAACCCCAAGAAGTACTATTTAAGATTTATAAAATTAGACTCACTAAAATTGAGAATCTGTTCATCAAAAGACACTCTAAGATGGTAAAAAAACAAGCCATAAAATGGTAAGAGATATCTGCAACAGAAATAATCACATGGGGCCTGGGAAGTTAGCTCAGTGGCTCAAGCACTTGCCTGGTAGGTGCAAGGTTGTGCATTCAATCCCTAGTACCAAAAAAATTAAACAAAGAAAGAAATAAAATACAAAGGCTTATGATGAGAACATAAAGAACTATATTTCATCTAGAAAAAGAAAAAATTAGAAAAATGGATGACAGCATTGAACAGGTCCTTCATAAAAGAGAATATCCAAATAGACAATATACTTACATGTTATGCACATTAAAATCACAAACTAGAAACTTCTCGTTTAAAAAATAATGGCACATGATTGTAATGGCTAAAAGCACAAAATATGACAAGTGCTGGGAAGGAGGTGGAACAACTATAACTTCTTGTGCATTGCTCATATACCAATGAAAAATGGTTGGCATTATCTACTGAAGTTGAAGAAAGATACATTCCTGTGATC